TTCCAACAAAACATATTGAAGAAATTCAGAATAATGATAGCAGACGACATCACACAAAATCCAAAAAAGTACGTATTATGAAACTCCATAATTCCAATAAGCTTCATTGATCATCTCTCGTACTTCTTTGTGATAATTGCAAAGTTCTCCTTTTTATGATTCCACCTTGCAATTGCATGTCTCATTTGTTAACTTCATCTTCATTGTACCATATTTTTCATATAATTACTGAGACAATATATTCCTATCACTGACTAAAGCACAAGAATATACTGAGTAAGATCTAATTAAATCGATACATACTCGATAGCGATTACATTGGAAACGGGTGTAATGAAAGAAGAGATTGAGATTCTTTTTATTATTGAGGGTATGAGTTGGGTTTAGTATTCGATTGTCTTAAGGAAAATCCCATGTCAAAATCCATGCATGATCATCAACTATGCATTTTATCAGTGATTTTTTTTTTCATTCCTACATATTTTTATATCGTCTAAATGCTAATGAGCGGTGATATGCATGTAACTACAGTATGTAAGAAGAATGATAATGTACAATACGTTAAGTGTACGGCTAGCCATGACAAGTGGTCACTTGTAAAAGAACAAAGTAGTTCCTACAACACTGACTGATCGAGTAACCCTTATAATACTGATCGAGTAACCCCTATAATACTGACCGAGTAATTCTTACTCGTATCACACTAACAAAGTAACCTCCTATTATAGCCAGCCATATATAAGAGTTTAAAATTAAGGTTTTTTTTTTTTTTTTTTTTTTTTTTTTTTTTTTTTTTTTTTTTTTTATGGTGAGTATGTTAAATAATTAGAAGTCACCAAATTCAAGTGAATAAATCAAGGCCCAAGTCACCAATATAACCTATTAATAGGACACGTGTCTCATGACTTTTACCTTAGAATCGACCCACACAAAAATTTCTTGTTAAAGTCAAAGCATCTCACTATACAAAAGAGGGGAAGTGCCCGTTGAGGATTGATAAACCAAGCACATTTTGTGGGGGTTAAGTATTTACACACATCTCCTGTTCTTGCTGAAATACTCTTCTTTTTAGCCATAATCCATCCTAAACATATGCCAATAATATTAAAAATAAAAATATACACATCCCCATGTTTAAGGATGGTTGATCCTATGGTATGAATTTTTTTTAAATAAAAAAAATGAGTAAACACTTAGTGATAACATATTAAAAGGTAAAGTAGTCACAATTTTCAAACTCAAATTGAGTTTTAATGTAATTCACACATTCGATAAATCTCGAGATTCATCTTGAGTTTGAAGATTTACAAGCTAAACCAAAGCAACCTCAAGTTGAGTTTGTTAACACCCTCAAACGATTAATCTAATCTTTGTGATCAGCATATCAATCTTCGATGATCGCAAGCTACAAATTCACATATCATATCAATGAAATCGATAGGTTTGATATCAACCCACACGATACACGATAACAATAAGATAGGTTTCAACATCACCACATGTTTGTAAAGAAGAAAGCCAAGTGATTTTCATGTGATGAATTGCAATTGTAGTGCATCATAAAACAGGCACAGACAAAGATGAAATAATAGCTAATTTTGCTAGTATAGTGTATATACAACATCCTAAAGTTCACCCCAAATATCAAAAGTCATGATGTTTAAGTTGAAATTATTCAATTTCATGTGGTCTATTTTTTCACACAAGTTCAAGAATCTCCATGATGAATTATGAAATACATGATTACAATCATAACTTAGAAGAGGAAGAAGGGGAAGCATCAAATATTTGTTATTGATGATTTTATTGACACCCTTTATAATGAAGGTGATACGATTTCCTACTATTTGGAAAAAAAATAAAAAGTAATCAATTACTAGTGCAACTATACCCAAAAGATCCGATCCATATTTTTGAAAATTTCATGGTTTTTGCCAATATATCATGATTAACCTCCATGTGAATTTGCACTACTAAGTGCCATGTATTGGAGTAGTACAAGTGTAGGAAAATAAGGTAGAGATCCATTCAGTTAGTTCACCACATAAATTAAGTACAACAACTGACTCACAATATAAATATCTTTTGTTGTTCTTTTTAAATTATGTTCATTAAAACTTTTTTTTACTGTCTACGGATAAAGTTCAATCAACTATTATCTCGACTATCTCAACTACGCTTGATATATTCGATCCATATAATTATTCTTTAATGGTTTTCGCCAATTTATCATGATCAACCTCCATGTGAAGTAGCACTATACAATACATGTCAAATATTTAGGGTAGTACAAAGAGTCGGAAAAAACGGATAGAGATCCATTTAGATCACTTGAGGGCAAGGTAGAATATAGAAGCAAGGGAGTGCAAATAACTTCATTTCATTGTTGACTACTATTGTATATCATACCATCATTTCTTTTTTTTAATTAGTCGTATATGATTTTGATTGTTTTTCTTGGAAGGGATATCAAAATAGTAAACGGAGGAATAAGTGAGCATTCAAGTGGTGGGTGTAGGTATCAAAACCTCTTCATTTTTAAATTTCAAAGTAAAATTATTAGATTCTACTCTACATATTATCATGATTTATGATAAATAATCTTGTACAAAAGGGACCCCCAAAAAAGCTTAAACTTGAGTTGGCGGCAAGGATTAAGCAAAATTTCCCTTTTCTTTTGTTGAGAAGGCCAAATTAATCTTGCAACTATAGGTTTTTTTTTTTTTTTTTTTTTAAAAAAAAAAAAAAGATACTCTGCCTCATTCTATAGTATTTTAGGCCAAAAGATTAACTTCTAATTTACAATAATAACACATGCATAAATCCAATATACATACTGTCACTTTATGCCGATAACACTAATAATCAACAGTTTCTTAATTAATACACCAGTCAGTAAAAATGAACAAATAATTTGCTCTTAGCGACCTTGTCACAAAATTTGCAAATTATTTGGTGCACCTAAATGCACATTGCTTTATGGTACACCCGATAAAAAATCAACATATATATACCTAGTATATTCTTTGGTTTTTAACTATACGTTCTTTTAATAATTTATGCTTCTTTCGTAGAAAATTCAAACTTTCTGCTACGAAAAAAAGTTGTGATAAAAAAAACACTCAATTTTTCGTGCTCTTATCACAAGTCTCGTGATATATATATGGAAAAATTGCAAAAATCGAACATGCAATTACAATATCTGCACCCCTGTTCTTTTAATTTTTAAATAAAAAATAAACACATGTATTGAATTTGAGCAACTATTCATTAGGCTTCAATGTCGAAACTAGCCACGTTGCCATGTTCCTTACATTTAAACTACATATTTATGTTGTTTTTAGGATTCAAGTTCATTTGTTTTACTCTTTATGTTCTTTTAGGATTCATGTTTATTTGTTTCAATCTTTATGTTGTTTAAACTTAACCTTAATGTTCATCGAATGTAGGGTGCACAAACCAATAATTGGGCAAAATTTTGAGTCATAGATTTCTTAATATTATAATCAAAATTTAAAATAGGGCATAGTTAGTGTATCAACAATGCAAAAGTGTAATCGTTATGATTATTAAAAAAAAACAGATAAAGATCTCATATTAGGAAATTAAAATTGCAATCACCGGAAGCAAGTAGGGTTATGCAAACGTGCAAATGGTCAACAAATTCAGAGGACGACGCGGTAAAAAAGAGGGTAATACATCCATAATTCCATACAGGTCCCCAAAAAGAAATGTTTGACTCTAAAATATTTGTGTTCAAACCTAATTATGAAAGCAGATTTAATCATGAGAAACAAAATTAAGAGGTTAATTAGAGAGAGAAGGATCAAGATTCCTTCCTTGATTAACAGTCTAACTTTGCTTCTAATACTATTGATTACGAGTAATTAATTAATTAAAGCTCGATTACGAAACCGGCCTTATCTCACGTGGAAATCACATAATTTCTAGCATAAGTATAACCTGCATGGACCCGGATTGTGTGATAAACTAATCCCATTTCTGTGGAAATTTCTTTTCTTATGGGCCATCTATGCCCATCCGAAACTTCGTTTTGTTATAACAGCTAGACAACAAATCAAAAACTCAAGAGTATAGCAAATATTGATCCTTAGGTGAGGCAGAGTTACGATAATTTATTTATGGTAAAGATTTTTAAAAATTATCCTTAAAATAATAAACAATCACCACGTTGATATCGCGATAAATTGTTGTCTCTTATATAAGATATTGTCCTATGATGTTCTAATTGCCCTTCGGATGTGGTCTATAATCTACAATATTTGGTCATCAAGCCAAATGGAAGCCTTAAAACGTAAGATATTCTATATTTACAAGGAAATTCAAACTCATTGATGATTTTTCAAAACTAGATATAATAGTGGACATGATAAATCCACCTAATCATTCCCTAAGTTTTGTACTTTATAAGGGGGAAATTAAAAAATGATTAATGTTTAAAAAATCCCTTACTTTTAAGGGGTCATAAAGACATAAAACACATAAGAGAATTGTACCAACAATGTAATACAAGAGATATTACACGAAAATAAAGTTTCCACACCTGAAGCTTAAGGGGAAACTCTTAAAGCAATATCCTTACCTTGATAAAGATTCAAGCCCACAAAGTTGTTTTTCTTCGTCGGAGTCAATTTTGTAAGAATTGCCTTCACTATTTGAAATTAAAATACTTATTAAATTTAGGTTATTATGAATTGGCTCGACTTGTGATCACCACTGAAAACACAAATTCAATTCATGTTATACTTGAACTGACTAACAAGAATCAAATAACCTTTGCTATTTTGGTTGCTCTTAATCACAAAGAATAATGTTGAAAATGATAGTACTTTATAAGACAATTTGTTACATTAATAATTCGAATTCAAAAAGCTATATGGTCTATCTAGAATTCATTGCCATATCGATAATGTATTTTTGAACTACTAATGTAACAACTAAATTCAAATAGGATGAAAACAATTCGCTATTAAAAAAAAAAAAATAATGCAAACCTAGGGGGAGAATAAGGAGATGTCAAAGAACGTAATGGAGGGAAGAAAGAAGATGGAGCAATAACGATGCTTCCATTTTCTTAGGCTTTTAACACTTTGGGTGGCAATTGCCAAAGATGAGGTTGCCAAACTTTGTAATGATGAGTCTACCTGCCATCATTACCATTCAAGAACCCAAAAGATCACTCCATTTCTCTCTCCAACCTAGCCCACCATTTCACTACTTTGGTACATACTTCTACTTCTCCTTCTATTTAAAGGACCTCACCTTCCCCCTTCTTCTCCCCTCAATCCACCGCCATCAAGTTTTGCATTAACTTCACCTCATCACCAATCATTATAGTATCTTCCTCTCCCATACACACTTGGTTGATCCCTCTCGAGTCTCGACCTCTACTAATTAGAGAAGCTCAATTAATAATCACACAATGTGTAGTGCAAAAGATTGGCTTCAGTCTCCTCCGACTCCTTGCAATGGCCAACGACCCTCAAGGAAATCCAAAGTTCGAGTCCATTGCCTCATCGTAAGGTACGTGTCAACAAAATACAAATGCAAACCTTTTCTTGTATAAGATAATGTAAAGTACAACAACGTCCTCTACATGGTATCAATTTGTGATGTAGAATTCTACCAACCTACTCTCCACAATCTTCACATGTACTAATTCTACAGTCAGTAGGATACAACATAAACAATCTCATAGAGATTTTTACTTCTTCCATTATTTTTCGGTTTCTTTGCTATGATCTTTCATCGTACAAGGTATTAATGTGTGATTTGGTGGAACAGGAGAAGGTACGAAGGAACGAAGACGGAGGACATGGAGCTAAAGAACCTGAAGCTGTACTTAGAGAACAGAAGTATTTTAGAACAGAATGAACAGCTAAGGCAAAAAGCTATTCGCCTTCGACAAGAAAACCTAGCTCTCCTTTCTGAGTTTCAGAAGAGATTCAAATCCTCTTAGCTCATGGCACCAAAATGATCAAGGACATAGCAAGAAAATCGTAGTCTAATTTTCATGATATAACTATTGTATGCTAGACTGCTAGCATTCCCAAGTCCTAATGTAATAATCATTAGTATTATTTTTAAGAGTAGCTAGCTTAGGGGTGGACTAAAGAATACTCAGAGAATTTTTTCATTGGCCAACTCATCTCTTTGTATCATGATCTAAGATCCTGAACATCTTAGGTGTAAAATCTTTAGTTTGTACCAAAGAAAAAAAATATGTAATATACACAAGTATTGTTATAATTATTATTTTAGCATGTTACCAAAATTTAATTAGAAATGGCACTTACAATACATAAAAAAAAAAAAAAGCCGCCTAAATTCAGAATAATTTATTTTATTAATTAGATTCGATCCACAATCATTTCCAAACTGCTAAACTTCGTATCTCTCTGTTTTATATTTTACTGTATTTTTTAAATAAAAATAAAATTAAAAAAAAAAAGAAAAACATTTTTAAAAAATCCCAGTAACTGAAAAAGAGAAAAGAGATGATGTAGTAAAGAAGCAAGACAAAATAGGAAAAGGAAGTGAAAAAAAGAGGCAACCCTACAGCATAGTGTAATTAAAAATGAGGTCCTAAAAAGGAGGTAACTTTATTTATGTCATAGTAGTGAGTAGCAAATAAAGAAGACAGAATGAGGAAGCAATGGTTATAAACATCTCCTAGAATTCAGCCAATCCAACACTGAAAGTAATTTGAGGTATCAGTGAATGAAGAAGAGAGTGTCTCAGATGTAAAGCATCAAAAGTGAAAAAGGGTAGCATATTACAAAAGGGGTAAATTACTCTGCATTGGCTTCAATGTGTAGGACAGAGTATGTCGAATCATAACATCTGAAATACTACATGTGGAGTTATTTCTTTGCAAGGAATACATTCAGGTGAGGCATTATAAAGTCAATAATTTATAAATATATACGACTTTACGAGTAAGATTAATCAACAACATTATATACGGGGATAAAACTCTTTCTATTACTATAGCTGATAGTCTGATACTAGTCATAAACTAATAATACTACTTCGTATATGTTTTGTGGACGTAGAACTAAAACTTTGTATCTATAACAATGGTACCTATAATGTGTTTTCATTTTTGTTGTATTTCCATCTTACTTACCAACGCGTCCAATGTCATACCTCATACCGAGTACTATTAAGAATTTTTACTACATAAAAGAATTTTTGCAAAAGCAAAGTAATAGAATCCGATGAAAACTAGAACCCCTCCCAACCCAAATAGTCTTCTCACCATCTTCTTCCCACCACTCTATTGAAGTGAGGAATTGAGGATATGTTTAGAAATTTAACTACTCTATATTATTTATTTGTAATTAAGAAAAGAAACAACTATACTCCCTCTAATCCTTTTTGTTTTTCTCGTGTGAAACTTTTTATGTAATCTCAAAAAAAAAAAAAAAAAAAAAAAAAAAAAAAAAAAAAAAAAAAAAAAAAAAAAAAAAGGGAAGCAATAAAAAGGATCTGAAGGAAGTTTATGTAATTATTAGTTCCAATAAAGGGTATATTATTATAAAAAAAAAAAAAAAAAAAAAAAAAAAAAAAAAAAACACAATCCTGATTGATTCCTAGTTCATCTTAAGGGGGCGCTTGGATTGGGAGTATTAAATTAAGGGGTAGTAAAAATCAAACCAAGCAAAATTAAAGTAAACATAGAAAAGGGGGAGCTAGTGATGATGTGATTGTAAGAAGATTTATATAGTGATGGTGTGGTGATAGGTGAAGAAAGGAAACTATTACCCTTATTTTGGGGGTAATAGGTTACACTAAAGGGAGGGTGGGTAACCTATTACCCTCATTTTGAGGGTAATGATTCCTCCACCCCTCTCTTTTTCTTTTGTCACTACAACCTTAATTCATTCATAAACACCTTGTCTCCTTACAATAATACCTCTAATCAACTATAATTTATTTAATTTGACTTTTATTACCCCCTTAATTTATTATCCCATTTCAAGCGCCCCCTAAATAAACAAAACATTCAACCATAAAACTCCCGTCAAATAGGTAGAGTACAGTACAACCTTCGCAATCCAGTGAGTGATCACCTTTCTTTGCCCACCTTTTTATGAAATAGTAGTAATAAGGGAGCATCTTGTCAAAATGCAATCATGACCAAAAACTCTTCCAAGAATTTTACTGGGAATTGCTTTCAAATTTCTATCCAACTTTTTCCCAATTATGTAAAAACAATAAAACACAAAATCTAACTAGTCTTATTTAATACATACACAAAGTTTTATCAGTCAAAGCAATCATAGTAGTTAAAAAAAAACGAAAAACTTAAACCAAATGACGTAGGAGATACACTGAACTACTACACAAAGATTAATAATTATATTTAAAAAAATAACTGAGAGAAAAACAGTTAGTCTACAGACGCGGCAATATAATCATTAGCCCAGACTCCTTTTGGAAATTATATGCTTATGTTAATGCAACTATGCTCTAAACCATTTCCCACTTTGTAATATAGCCTCATACATGTAAGACATATAACCTTCTTGTCTAGGTACAAATCTAGGTGTTGTTTAATTGACATGGGAAATGAATTTCCATAGGAAATTATATTTCATGGGAAGTAATTTCCTTTGTCCATTTCTTAGGAATTGACTTAAGTTTGTTTGGTGATAATATAGGAACTTTGATTTCCTAGGAATTTATTTCCTATGTTTTATTAGTTAACTTGATAATTTTTATTTAAGTTAACAAATTTGGAGAGAGAAAGAAAGAGATTAAATTATTAGTGATAATAATGCAAGTAAACCCCACAATAATCATAGGAATTGTGACTTACCAAGGGAGGGCTTAGTAAGTTATTTCCCATGTTTCATGGGAAGTACAACTTCCTTTGGAATTTCCATTTCCCCCACTTTGATAAATTTGTGTCAACCAAACAACACATGATTTTTCCATCTCCTAGGAAATAGAATTTCCAATGCTATTTACCTCCGACCAAACAACACCCTAGAGTTACATCATGCGTGGATATGATCTTAATCTTAATCATCCCATCAAGTAAAATAAGATTTGGCAAAACTAATAATCGTCCCGTCAAATAAAATAAGATACATTAAGATACATGAGTTAAATTACTTGACCCAAATCTGAACTATATCTGAAATAACATGACTTCAAACTTAATCCAAACAACCTATTTGTCCGAATTGCCAGTTATAGCAGAATTCTAGTCCTTTATTACGCACGTCGGGCTAGAAGTTAATACCAACAAACTATTATATGACACTTTAGAATTAGTTATATGGCCAATGCTCCATGCTATGTTATTTCGACTCTTTATCTTATCTTCTATACCCATGTCAGACACTCAATAGTCAAACAAGGGAGTGGGATCCTTACCCGACACTTCATTGCTCACCCAAACACTTCGACTATCTTGAACCACATAATTATAAGAGAAAATGTGAACAAGAGAAGGAATAAAAAAAAAGGACTTGAGACATTAACAAGAATTGACTATATGTGTGCATGTATCTGTACATTAAAATTCATGCATAATGTCTTCAAAAAAACAAGAATGTTCCATTTATGCTGAGCCCACAGACACCCAGATCCAATTATAGAACGACGTCTCCATGTCATAAATTTTTGGCATTAGACATATTTGACACATAGATATGTGCTCATGTTTGAGTAGTTTGAGTAACATAGGCTCCATATTGGATAAAGTATGCACATGCTGATATGCACGATAGGTTCAATAAAAACAATCCTCTCCCACATCTAACAAGTTTGGCTTCTCTGTCACTAAAGAGAAAACTCGAGTTCAAGCTATTAGAATGGCAGAGTTCGTCCCTTAATGTTTGCTCCACTTTCCTAAGAGTATTTAGTTTGCTCCATACTACAAATGGTTGTAGGGGACCACAACTTTCCTCTCACAACCCTTACATCCAGTCCTACCACTCTTCTCTCTCATCAACTCCCCTCAACAAAAAATTCAAAAACTTCACCCACTAGGTAAATAAAAAAGGACGGATGGAGTAGCAGTGAGATCAGGGGGCTATAATTAGCATTTTGCTGTCCAATCTCACTGCCATAAATGGTACCAAATAAACTAAAATTTTCAATCAGGAAAAAGAACTGTTATATATCATGTCAACCTTGACAGTTTATAACTATCCCTCTTGTCAAAGTCTCCATTTTAATAGGATTTGCACAGAACACCTCAAAGTTGTCAATAACTAATCCACACAATCTGTAGATGTCTCAATTCTTAAATTCAACTGATACATGCATGAAATAGCCTAGAAACAACCCATTTGTCCAAACATAACACTAGTTCATAAAACGGAAAAAATGAAGGCAATATGCATGTAGAGAAAGTCAGCAAACTTGAGCTCTATGATCATGTTAATATATAATATAGTATTCTTTAAAACTTTTTATCCCATACTTTTTTTTTTTTGGGGAAGATAGGAAGGAACAAAAAACAAAAACCGAAAGTTTTTCTTTCTGGTGAAAATGTCAAAATAAATAAACCATCTCATACGTCTTTCTCTTGACTGGTACTAAAATTTTCTTTTTCTTTCTTTTTCTTATGATTGTTGTATATGTATAATGTGGTTTTTGACTAGCTAGTTCCCTTAGTCAGTAAGGATTAAAAGTCCTTTCCTTCTCTTCCTTGTCTTTTTATTCAAAACTTAAAAATAAATTTGAAAAAAAACCTGCGGAAGGCCAGTCAACTGCTACTGTAGATATATAATTTACTCGCTATTTAGTACTCCGTACCATCAAGTCTAATACTTCGTATAAGCACCCTACCAAAAGCCCTGAAGTTACCTCTGCTACTAACTCCATTTTTTGCCTCAAGACACATAGAAAATGTTTGTTTGTTCAGTGGATAATAATATAAACATATGGCTATCTTAATATCTAAAATAAACGGAGTATTTTTTGTTCAACTACAGAATACCAAGAATTGCCCTCAACATTGAGGTGATGCCTTCTTATGGGTTGCTTATAGTAAGGAAAGGATCTTAGCTATCACAAATCGGACAAATGCATTGGAGAAATTGACTACTATCATATTGCTTTACATTAGCCCAGTTACTTAGTTATAGATCAGTAGACTTGAATCGCTAACATCTGCCCCAGTGTCCACCGTTTCTCCAGCTCCACAACGATAGACTAGTCCTCTCGAAAAAAACTTACAATTAGTACAGGTTATACTGTTTTCAACAGCACTATCACATATTAAAACCTTCCAGCACTTCCCTAGAACAAAAATACCAGGAAATCAGCATTGTAACCACTATAATTTCTTCCCCAGACCTATCAAACAGCCAGGAATATAAAACACACCATACAAACTTATTGATGGCAGGTGTTCTGGTTTAGCCAATTCCAATTGGGCCATAAAACAGAGCATCTATTGCTAATGAGTTCTGAATATCAGATGTCAATATAGCTAACATCTCAATCAGCCTACTATACATGTATCTTGGCCTCCTAACATCACTACGTACCAACTTTTTTTCATAAATTGGCAATATATAATAGAGGACTGAGTTCCCAGCCAAACTGCAAATTGTACTTCCTCCGTTCTATTAATATTGCAACAATGGACTTTTTGCACTATTCATCACTCTTGTTTGACCATATAATATGATATATACGTTAAGCAAAATATAGTCATGTGGGATCTTGTTGGATTCGTCTCATAAAATACTTTCACAATATCAACTTTTTATAATTTTTACTCTTACACAATTATAAATATTTAGCATATAAAATGTGATTTGGGATGCGTAATTTCATCCTTGTTGCAATATTAATAGAACGGAGGAAGTATCTTGTACTAGAGCTTGCTATCAAGACCCACAAATTATAATAAATATAATTACATATGTAAACATTAAGAAAAGAAAAGCCTGTTACTAGACTAGTTCAATATGAAATTACACAAATGTGTAAAATTCTCAATTGCATCCATTCCTACTTCTAAATTAACTACTACCATTGATAAAGGGAACAAGAATGTCATTTTCAGCTCCATAAAAATATAAATACAGCACAATGGAAAGAGGAGAATTATATTACAGGAAGAGCCAGTTTAATTGATATGAGAGAAAAATACCTCAAATTCAATTCTTGCAGGACATATTTAAATGTTATTTCTGTTGAAGTATCTTATAAATTTTCTGGGCGATTCTGTGACTTGTATATGCGGTAGGCAGCAATACACATAGTGGCATTGCCACAAACTGTCAAAGCAGCTTGAAGTGCCACCAGTACCTTCAAACATTCAGAAGTAAAAATTGTAAACTGTCATCAGTTAGTGTCATTCAGAATGAAGTCAGAGCAGTTCCCAATTTATTGCCAATGTTTAAAAAGGCATAGTTACCTCAAGTGACTCAGCATTGTAAAAGAAATGCCATGTACATGCACACATTGCCCCGCCAAGTAAGGGTACCTAAGCAATTATCAATGTCCAAGATTTTATAAGAGGGCGGTAATTGGCAACCAGTAAGTTAATATCAAAGCATCTAAAGGAAAATCAAATAATTTGAACGAGAGTCACAAGAGTAACTGAAATGTACATATAATTTTTTTTATTTCAAGCAACTTATCCACTTTTCGATTTTAAATGAAGTCTTAGAATTTTGCATCACCAATGCAGACAGGTAATAGCTCACCACTGGTCTTCTGAAATTAGTAACAGTGACTCAGTGAGTAGCTTAAAGCCTAGTTATAAGCTCATTCATCTTAAAGTCCTTTGGTAATTTTTTATTCGTAGTTATGTTAGTAACAGCAAAACAATACGAACAAACATGGAAAATTGGAAACTACCCCAACTGCTAACAAGCCCCAAACAGCCAGAGTAAAGAATGAAAGGATTGCTAATTTGCTATACACCATAAGGAATGCTTGGAGTGAGGATAATGCCTTTGAGCAGAAACAAAAGAGGTGAATAATTTCTTGGAGAATGAATTAATGGAAGTGTAATGAGAAAGGAGGGTACCTATTACTCCCATAATGACGACTACCATCCTTCCCTCTTCTTCATACCAACACTATTTTATTCTCTTTACCACCATCTCCTCCCTCTAATAACTACCTCTTTTCATCTTCGTTTTCCTTAGTTTGACTTTAATCACCCCCTTAATGCATTACCCTTACTCCAACTATGCCCTTAGATATAAAGCATGATTGTCTTACTATCTCCTCCAAAATTATTGGTGCCATGACAAGTTTGAATGGACTTGACGAAGCCAACCATCCAAATTACTACATCACTGCTCACATATAAGCCTATACTTCTTAGCTCATTATAAGAGAAATTAGTGCTACAGAGCATGGTACAAACCCTCATTCAACAACTGAATTCAAGCATTCCAAAAAGCGTCTCAATTCGGTGAACAATGCGACCTGGTTCAACAACCCTATTGCCAGCATCATTAAGGGTATTTTTGCTTATATTTATAATTCACTACAATTCCAGGCACACCAGATTCTCTTTAGCATCCCATGTTCCTGTTCCCCTATCACAAATGGTATCATAACACATACCATGTAACATTGAATGAGATACTACTCAAATTTACAAATACCCAGCTATCATTTCCATCAAGATAGAACATACAAGGTACAACTACAGAATAGGTGGAATTCATCATTCTAAGATTTCTAACTTAGCTAGAGTTACATTGCCCATGGGTATGACTTTGACCTACCTCAACACATATCACACTATCACCTAGTAAATCCTTTCAGGATTTAAAGAACAACACATAAATTTCCCAGCTAAAGGCTTCATATGCAATACATAACAATAAAAAACAGAGAAACAGATATATCTGATGACATTATAAGATCAGTTAATGTTAACAATATTGGGTTCTTGACTTCTTGCTTCCTTTATATAGATAATGTTGTTAGATTTCAGTTATATTGTTGCTAATCTTCATACTGCTTGATCTGTTGGACTTCTTGGATTAAAATCCAGACACGTTTATACATATTCACTATCAAACATAAGAGAAGCACGAGGTCTAACTAAATCAACATTCATATACAAGCCTTTGGGAATGTCCTGATCACTAAAGTGATCCATAGCCTTGCAGGAAATCGATAGAACCCATTATCATGGATAACCTAGTACCTTCCGTGTACATTAATTTTCGTCAGAAGTTCAATTTTCATATAGCATCAACCTATCAGGTGAGTCTTATACATAAACATCACAGGCCATGCTAAGGAGGAGCACGTAATTTCATAGTTGATTTCATCTATTAAGCATCTGATTATGACAATGCTACATTTTCCTAATATTCCATATTACCACTAAATACCCTTTAAAGCAATGGTCATCACTAATTCTACACCACTATGGCTCCGTTTGTTTGGACAAAAACTATTTTAACTGAAAACAGTTTCCATGAAATATACTTCCCAAAGGAAAACGCAATTGAAGATAGGTTTTCCTTCCTTTGGTTGTGTGGAGAAACGACTACTACCATCTCTCCATCTAGTTGTTAAGTGAGAAGACAAGAAGCTGCCGGTCTATTTGACACAAAATGCAGCATCCCTTCCAAATTGGAGAGCAATGGTTCCACTAGTTGGAAAAGTAGAATTTCCATCCAAATTTTCCTTTCTTATCATCCAGTCTATGCCAAAAGTTGGAAAAAAAGATATCCAAGAATACACTTTCCTCCAAACAAACAGAGCCGATATCATAATTCATAGGTACACACAAACATACATACATCATCACATCAGAGATTTAGGCTATACTGTCATTGCTGGATTGCAAGACCAAACATCGTCAAATGCAATGGTAACGGCCTAATAATGTTGCAGCAGTTAATAATACAAAATAATCTAAGCTTCAATGACAAAATCATACCCAAATCCATAGCATTGCAGAAGCTAAAACAAATTGCAAGTTTAGCTAAGCTTCAGTAACAAAAATCACTCGCACACAACATCATAGCATTGCTACGGAGTATAGCTAAAAGCAAAGTTTGACAGCAAATTGTAGCATTGCAATAGTTAAACACACATTTATGAAATTATGACAGCTTCAATAATAAATTCATACCCAACATCATAAAATATTAAACAAACTTACCATTCCCCAAGAGAGACCCTTCCAAGATTCATTTCCAGGTTTATCCCCATATTGCCACACCAAAGCCATTGCTATCACCCTTAAAAACACAAAAAGATTGACAATTCAGTATAAATCATCCGAACCCGATACAATGAACAATTAAACAGTTTTAATATATATGCAATCGTAAGGGCTAACTACAAGCATCAAATACATATCTAGGGCTACATAAATCATTTTCCAAAATATAATTACATTATACAATTGCAGAAACTAATCTATAGAATTAACAAGTATAACAACAATTAAAATGATAGTCAACAAAATCAAATAAAAGGGGGGCAAAATTGAGACCTGCTCACCATTCAGCAACACTGGAAACGTGGACAGCCCAGGTGGGGAGAGAGAGAGCATTGGAAGGTTCATGAAGCCCAATTGATGATAACAATGGCGGCGATGAATCGGCGGCAATGGCGGGACCCACCAAAGCAAGAGCAACACCAGCGCTTAACAAAGCGGGAACCCATTTCTGGTTTTTGCAAATGAAGGTGGTTTTCTGGGTTTGATTGGAGCAGGAAACCGTGGGTAAGCGGAGATTTGAGTGGTTTTGAGGAGAGAGAAAACAGGGTATTGTTGAAGATGAAGAAAGGGGTGAATTTGAAGGAGAGAGTAATGAAGGAATGGATAACATGGTTGGCGTTAAGCTTGCCGGGAGTTTTTTGCCCCCACTTAAGCTTGAGAGGACAAATATCTTTTGAACTTTGAAAGTGTACTTTGCTAATTTGCTAACTTGGGTTTGGGTTGAGAAATTACAAGTTTAGGAGGTACAAGTCTTATCGCACACTTTATTGGGATGCAATAGTTATTTACATATTGTTGGCTTTGTAGATGTTAACGGATCGTTATCTCTCTCGTTAGTCCTCAATAATGGGGCTTGAATTTTTCAACAATAGAGGTCGGGGAAATCAATGGAAGAGGTCGAGGAAATCAATGGAGGAGGACAAACACCTACCATTTGAGGTTAAAAAGTCCCTTAATTTTTACCCTTATTTTGGACATTGGATTAACATGACTTTGATCTGCCTTAATGTTACCGCCAATGTCACGAATGGCATGAATACATTTGAGGCGTATATTGACAATACATTCATGAACAAGTCATGAACAAGTTCGATTGAAAATCATTCATTAGATGAATAAATAACATATGATCAAAATGTTTAGTCAATGATTGATTCTAACTTGGAAAATTTGTTCAATTTGGCTAGGCTCACAAACAACTTGATTGTACTTGTTTAAAAAATCTTGTTATGCAATCAACATTTACTTGTACAACATTATAATTAATATAAACTATGAAGTCTGATTTGATCTAGAGTCGAGATCAAATCCATTCACGCAAAATCAAGTCAAGTCTAAACAATTTTAAGTTTCGATGCCTCAATCTCAAATTAGCAATAGCAGTGGTTATTAATCGTCAAATATTTTGGTGAAATTCCTGAGTTGCTATTCAAGACTTGAGATTAAATCTCGTCTATATCATTGTCCTTACGACTCTCTTTTGTCTTTACATTACAAAAAATAAGCAATGTAAAATTCCAGTCAAATTTAAATTCAACTTAATCTAGAGGTTTTGTTCACAAAATTCAAAATTTGGGCTCATTTGTTTTCATCTTCTGTGTTTCAGTTTTTTTAAAGAAAATTTGACTTTTGGTACCTCAAAAATGGACCTCATTGACTTTTGGTACCCTTTTAAAACTTTATTTTACTTTGATACCCATCAAATTTTAAAATTATAGGTTTTGGTACCTCCGTCCAACTTCTGTTAACTTTTCCGTTAGTGGGGCCCACATTATTAACTTCCCTCATTTTACCCCTTCTCTCTCCACGATTTTAACTGATTACCCCTTCTTTCTCCCTTCTTCCTCCAACATCAAATCTCCCAACCATATTCATTAACTCCATCTCAACCACCAATTTCTTTCTCTCTCCCCTGTCAATCTGAAGACCTAATTTTTTTTTTACACTCAGTTTTCTCCAATTGACTAGAGCGTGGAGGCTGTTGACTGGAACAACGCAACAGCAGAGTGAAAGGCTGGAGCTTTGAGTCGTCATCTCCATTGACAAAAGTAGGAGATTCTTCTGACAACGACCAGGTATGATTCCTTGAACTATTTGTAGTGGTCCGATAATGGTGATATTTATGCAATTGTGTACAAAAGTTTGGGTATTTTGGGGAGAAAAAAAAGAAGTAAATCCTAGAGTACTGTGATTGGATTTATTTAAGCATTTTTGTGTAATTGATTAATAATTGATGGTTATACAAGCATGTGGCAGGGTAATGTTGTCGGTACTTGTAGTTTAGTCCTGCTGCATTTAGATTAGTCAAGTGGTAGGGTCTTGGATTGGGTTTTTTTAAAATAGCTTTAATTGTGTTAATTGGATATTAGTATAGTTTCATTGGTTGATTTGTGTATTTTATAATCACTGTAGATTAAACAAATGGATGAACTTGATGATAATGTTAGCTAAGACTGTTTGGGGGTTTTGTGTTTAAAAAGAGAAGGGGGAGTGAGTACCAAGTATATGAGGCTGGTTTTGTGTATTGGTGATTGAAAGTACCACTGTCATATTTAACAGTAGAGTACTTAAGATTCTTATGTGGGGAAGGGTTTAAGGACATGGAGTGGGAAGTCCCTACCATATTTAACATATGGTACAAGCGAAGGGAATGACATGGATGACTGGGAAAAGGGAGATAGTTAGTGAAGAGGAAGTGAAGGGGTTTGTTGAGGCCAAACACAAAGATGGCCACCTAAAGTTGTACTGTACATTAACTGAAGATGCCCTTAGCCAACTTGATCCAATCCCAACTGAAAGCCCAACCTAAAACACAATATCTAGCCCATCTAAACCCAAAAAGACTAGAAGTGTATCCAAGTTCAGCTAACCCCATTCTACAGTGTCTGAAAATGTACCCAAACACCCCACTTGAATCAAGCCCTTCTAAACACACTCCAAAGAAGGCTATTAATGCAGTAGTAAGGAGGAGCCCCAAGTTTAATTTAGGCAATCCAACTGATCCTGGTGCAGCATGTAGTGAGCCAATAGTGAGGAGGAGTCCTAGATTTTCTACAGATTCTGATAAGAGAGTGAGAGATGCTGTGAAGGGGGTAAACAATAGTAAGGAGAAGGTGAAACATGCAATTGATAAAGGGAAGGGGAAACTGATTGAAGAGGTTGGATTGAGAAACAGAAGAGTGAAAACAGAAGGGAAGGGAAAGAGTAAGTGTCAAAGGAAGCTATTCATTGCTAATGAGTCTGGATCAGGATCTTCAAGTGAAGATTTAAGCGATTTGGACATAGATTGAGTTTTTGGAGAGGAGGAGGAGGAGGAGGGTGCACTACAAGAAAATTGTCTTTTCGTAGCGATTATTTCGTAGCGATTGTACATTTGCTACAATATGCACATATGTTTGTGAAATAGTAGAGGAATTCATATCATTTTACAATTGATATAGTAAACCCATATGAAATCGATATGAAAAACATAATAATATTTATTCACTTTTTTCTGCACATTTATAAAATTATGGAAAAGTGTATCGTTTACAATCGCCACTAAACCCCACAAATCGATACGAAAAGCCTTTTTTACTCTAGATTTTAAAATTTTGTTTGACAAAGAGAACATAAAATATGTCATAGGTTATTTGGAAAACATTTAATATTAGAACTTGAGGTTGCATGTTCGAATCTTGTATAGAGCATATGTAGGGATTTTTTTATTCGTAGAAAATGAGTTCAAAATTTGTAACGATTATAATCGCTACAATAATCACCATGATTTAATGTAGTTTTCCGTATCGATTAATTAGGACAACCCTAGCGAAAGCGAAAAGCACTACTAAAGGCTATGGTAACGGCGGATATTGTATCGATTAACCATTCGTTGAATTTTTTTTTTGTAGCAATTACAATCGCTACGAAATGTTAAAATAATCGCTACGAAAAGGTATTTTTCTTGTAGTGGTGCTTCTGAAGATGAAGGGTAGGATCAAGGGAAGGCTGAGATTCTAGGGGCAGTTGAAAAAAGTTTAGCAGGTGGACAGTACAGGGGAATGAGAGGAGTAAGGACAAGTTGCATCAGCTTGTGAAATATCTAGGGGATAAGGAACTTGAACTTAAGGAAGAAGGTAGTGATGAAGATGAGTTGAGGAGCTTACATGGGTCTGATGAAGATGAAGATGAAGATGACAATCCATGGTTCGGAGAAGAAACTGATTTTAAGAAGCCAATTCTTTTAGTTAACAACTAGAAGTTTAGCAACAATATTGTGCTTAGGAAAGCCCTAAGAACTCATGCCATAGAGAATAGGTATGAGTATTATTATTTGCACAATAATAAGGAGAAAATAAGCACTTTCTGTAGGAGGAGATGTGGGTGTGAGTTGTTAGGTTTTACAGCAAATTCAATCAAGAAAACGCTTAAAAATTGTGTGGGACAAAACCTAAGTTATATAATTACAAAACAATAATGCATGTATTGCAATAATTCAAACACAACACAATGTGTTAAAATCAAGTATTAATAAGTATAAGAAATTACAAAAAATTTCTAGAGACAACACTAATGTGAAGTTTAATTACACTTGCCTTAACTCCAAGCCGATCAAAGCACACAGGAACATGAGAATAGCAATGCCCCTTGAGACTACGACCTTGATACACTGTCAAAGGCGTATGAATATTTTCCTAAAGGGATTAATTTCCCCCACACGGTGCTTGGGTTATTCCGGAAATTCCCTTTGAGATACAATTGACAGCCCTTTTCGTTCTTAGCACAAAGAATCGAAACAAAGATGAATAATTCACAAAATTTGGAATGATTGCAAGATTTTTCTCACAAAAGTTTGCAAGAAGTTTGTGAGGAATTGTGAAGAATACTTGGGGAGAAAAGAAGAATATATTATTTCGTCCTTTCTCTTCTGAAAAATCAAGCCTTTTAACAAAGACTCAACCGTCAGAAAAACCGCAAAAACAAGGAGGCGCGGGCGCGCCTCTTCTGAACTTGCGAAATTCACAAAGGAAGGCAGAGTGGTACGCGGTTTAGGCGCGACCACAGGCGCGGGCGCGCCACCAGACGCGCGGTCGCGCCAACTTCACACTTCCAAATAAACAAATTCCAGTGAGGTCCGCAGTTTTAGCGCGCTCACTGCGCGGCCGCGCCTTCTCGGCGCGGTCGCTCCTTTTGGTGCGCGAGCGCAACACCATTAACACTCTAAATAATCCAACATGAGTGGGATCCAAAGAGGTGCAAACTGCCTTTGTATAAATGTAGTGAAGAAGTTAGGAGGTGCAACTTTTCAACAGTTGTGCTTGGCAAATTTAGGACTTAATTTTGGAGCATAAGTGTATAAGGAGTAAGATGAATGAAAATGTTACTGCAGAGTACCTAGCTGAGAAATATGTGGAGGAGTGGAGAAGCAATCCTAGTTGAAAGATCAAGAGCTTTAGGGACAGAGTCTTGAGTGATTTAGGAATTAACATTGGGTATTATAAGGCATGGCTAGCTAGAGCTAGAGAAAAGTTAATGATATATGGATCATCTTTTGAGCAATATGCCAGAGTATGGGATTATGGCAAGGCAGTGATGAAATACAACCCAGGGAGTGAGTGGGGTTTGTGTGGTTGTGGACAACCAATTGGACAAGCCGAAATCACCTCTGTTCTTAAGAATGTATGTCTGTCTTTCCCCATTGGTTAGAGGTTTCTTGAAAGGGTGCAGACCATTAATAAGGATTGATGGATGTCATCTGAAGGGTTCTTA